GAGAGAGCCGAAAAGTCAATGTTATATATGAAAAACTATAATCATTTTAATTCAGTATTGACACCCCAACATCTTGCGATAATGGAGTTTAGGCGTCAATCGAAGCCTCGGTTTTTATAGCAGTAGGGAAAAGAACTCGTAAAAACCCTTTAACAGCTTTTTATGTAGTGCGATATAACCAGCAAGAACATCTCCGGGTGTGTTTTTATTTATTTAATTATTTATTTAGTTGTGGTTGTTTTTTTTTATTTTATTTTATTGCGCTTTATAGTTTGTTAAACAGTTTACAGCCCCTCTTTGGGGGGGCCGTTACAAATGGGCCATTTCTTTCTTTTCGCGCTGATAGTTAAACCTTTATCAATAATAAGGAAATTGATCATTAAAATGTTAAATCTGACTACCTCGTTTGTTTTAAAATATGTTGAGGCTACAGGACGCCCTGCGATTTGATAACTTGGTATTAAAATACCAATTACATTTATAGGAGGCTTTTAGAAAAAAAACGGGTAGCAATTAAATCCGGCCTCTTTTTACAGTTTTCCAAAGCAACTCTGACATTTTCCAAAGGCTAAAACTGCCTCGTTAAAATATATAAAAAAATAATTTAAAAAAATTGGAAATTAACGATTGGAGCAAAGCCTCTCTTTAATTTTTCAACCCTCCCCAAATATCAATCTTTTGGGTGGGCTTAGGTAGATGATTTGTCGTGAGGCGAGAGATATCTCATTAACGTAGATAGTTTAGCATATTTAATCTCTATATTTACCCCACCCCCTCCCTCTCTCCCTCGCTTGCTCTCTCTTGCGCGCGCTCTCCCCCACTCTCTCTCTCTCTCTCTCTCTCTCTTTCCTCCTCTGTCTCGCACTCACTCTCCTTTCTGCTCGCAGGCTGTTCAGAGTCCGTGTGGAGTACGTGGAAACCAATAGGATGAGCGTTCTGTAATAGATGCAAATGATCCAGAAAAGACACTGCGAAATATGAACAAACTCATTTGCTCCGAAGTAAATCACGGAAAACTGTTTATGAACTGGCACCTCTCCTTGGAAATGTAAAGCGAGAACTCTTTTTAAGTGCCGATTTTTTTAAAAAGGGGGGGTTGAAGAAGAAGGAGGGAAAAAAAGAAGAAAAAGGAGAAGAGGGAGACAGACAGACAGAGAGCAAGAGAGAAAGGGAGAAAGGAATAATAATAATAATCACAACAACAACAACAACAAGAACATCAGTTAAAAGAGGAATCCGGTACCATGTACTGTGGCAAAGAGTTTTGACACAATCCTTTGGATTTTTTTTTTAATCTGTGTATATCTGTATATATTCCTGGAAATCACAAAGACGCTTGGGTTAGCAGCTCCTCGCTTTCATCTCATTTCGTGGCTAACATCCGGTGGCTTTTGATATACCGTATCTTAGAGCTATATCTCTATCTATTTAAAATAAGCTATTTATATGACAATGAGCTCCTATTTCGTCAACTCCCTCTTCTCCAAGTACAAAGCCGGGGACTCCTTGCGCCCCAACTTCTACGATTGTGGGTTTGCCCAGGAGCTCGGAGGGAGACCGACAGTGGTGTACGGGCCGAGTACGGGAGGCACTTTCCAGCACCCCACGCAGATCCAGGAGTTCTACCACGGCGCCTCTTCTCTCTCCAGCTCCCCTTACCAGCAGAATCCCTGCGCCGTAGCGTGCCACGGGGACCCCGGCAACTTCTACGGCTATGACCCGTTGCAACGACAAAGCCTCTTCAGCGCCCAGGAATCCGACCTGGTCCAATATCCGGACTGCAAGCTCGCCTCCACCGGCCTGGCAGGAGAAGACGCGGACAATTCCGAACAGAGCCCGTCGCCCACACAGCTCTTCCCCTGGATGAGACCGCAAGGTGAGGGAACCTCGCCGAAAAGGGCCGGCCGCCCCAGCCCCCGCGAAGGCATTTCCTGAACCCATAAAACAAGTTAGCCCTCCTTTTTCCCACCTCTTTCACTGTCTTCCCCCCCCACCCCTCCCACCCTCTCCCCAACCCTCCGTTACTTTTTTTTTACTGTTTTATGAGCCTAAACTTTTGCACCTCTCAATTGCTTTATCGCTTAATTACCCTGAAAGGACCCTATTTCTCCTGAATGGGGAGAACTGGACATTCCTCTCCCCCCCCCGCCCCACACCCTCCTTTCAATAGGAGAAGCTTCCCTCTAAAGTTTATGGTACTTTTACAACCTCCAGGACCCCCTTTTTGTGTCTCTCCTTAACCTCCTCCTCCTCCTCCCCCTCCTCCCCCCCTTCCCCCTCCCTGACTCAGTTATTATCTTTTAACCCTCTAGAGATGTGATGGGGGGCATGAGATGGAGGTGGCAGTTTTAGGGGCTTGGAGAGGGGAGGACGTTCGTGTAAGGAAACCAGGATGCTAGTAGGGGAATCATTTTTCCAAGGAGGTGACAGGACTGGGAGGTAGGGAGCGCTGGGGGCCGTCGGTTTCTTTCGGGAAAGCAGGGTGGCGCGGAAAGCTGGGAGATCAGAGCGCCTAACGCAGCCTCTCTCCCCCTCCCCCTTTCCGCTCTCCCTGGATAATCGCTCCCTCTCTCTTTTAAAAGCTTGTGGAAGGGCAGTTCTGCCCCTGCCTGCCTCCGTGTTTGTGTGTGTGTGTGTGTGTGTGTTGTGTGTGTGTGTGTGTGTGTGTTCGTCCCTCCTCTCTCCCTCTCTCTCTCTCCCTCTCTCTCTCTTCTAACTTGTTTTATGTGTCTTCTCAATCTCCTTTTCTCTCCCTCCCACTTCTCTCCTGCAACACCCCAGCAGCCGCTGGACGGAGGAGAGGCAGGCAGACCTACAGCCGCTACCAGACCCTGGAGCTGGAGAAAGAGTTCCTTTTCAATCCTTACCTGACCCGCAAGCGGAGAATCGAAGTGTCGCACGCGCTGGGACTGACCGAAAGGCAAGTGAAAATCTGGTTTCAGAACAGGAGGATGAAGTGGAAAAAGGAGAATAACAAAGATAAGTTCCCGAGCAGCAAATGCGAACAGGAAGAGTTGGAGAAACAGAAAATGGAAAGGGCACAGGAGGTGGAAGAGGGCGGAGAAGCACAGACGGGGGACAAGAAGTAGGCGCTGGTAGGCGCTGGAAGACTGGACAGGCAAGCCTCAGAAAGCCCCTCGTCCTTCCATTAATGCCAGTTGATGTGAGAAGTGGTGGTGGGGGATAAACACTGCTTTAGGGGAGGGGATCTCCCCTTTTATTGCTGTAAAACAATATAGCTGTGAACGTCTACTTCTCCCGATTGTCCTTTGATACATACAATGAACTATTCTATATATTTAAAAAAGAAGAGAGGTCTTGGGGTCTTTTTAGCCTTGTTGTTATTTTTCTTTTCCTTGACAGTTAAGAATTAGTAAATAGTGTGATGCAATAGCTTCTGTTAACCATGACTGTGAACATCTCTCTCTCTCCCTCCCTTCCTTCTTTCCTCCTTCTGTCACCTCTTCTGGTGTTCGCACTTCCCTCACCCTCATCAGGGTGACAGGTTACTCTCTCAATGTTGTAGAAATTATGTAAAAATAATGTTCTGCACTTTGGAAGGCTTTCCTCCCTGCCTCCCGTCCTTCTTTCTTTCCTCTGCCCCCTCTCTTTCTCTCTAATATAAATATATATAGGAATTATGTGAAAATGATACCTAGTGCACTTTTTAAAACAAACTCTGCCCTCCTCTCCTGTTCTCTCTCTCTCTCTCTCTTCCACTCTTTTCTTGTTGTGGTTAAATTCTTCTGGAGGTAGCTCTAAAACACACCCAACAACATGAAACTGCCTACTTATGCTGTAGTTGTCTTCATTTTTTATTGTTGTTGTTGTTGCTTATTTCCTACCTAGCTTTTGGCTTCCCATTTTGCTTTTTTTAAAAATTCTTTTTATGTGTCTATCTTTTAAAGGGGGAGGAGAGGAAAAAACAACACAAAATATAAAGAGATGGTCTCCCTGTCTCCTCTCCCCCTCCTCTCTCTCTCTCTCTCTCTCTC